CAATAGTGGTATTAAGGATTTGGTTTTCATCATTTAACCAACTCTCCAGTTTCTTTTGTTGCTTCTCTTTCCTTACACCCAGTGTGCATGCCATGCTGAATGCCTTATTTCAGATTCAAAATGTATAGACAGAGAACAGTACCAGGACGACAAAAGTGGTAATTTAACAACATAAATAACATTGGTATCATTTATCCTCTCCTTAAGACAACCACTTCCATAGAAAAAATTTTATAGCAGCTGTGCCTGGCTGTTTTACAGACGGTTCACTGTATTTTAGGACTTAAAATTAACTAGCTCGTTTTAATACTGATGCAATTTAAAGTTTTTTTCCTTAGTTCAAACAACGCATGTTACTTATCAAAAAGTAGTATCTTATGATTATTAGTCATATTATTAAAAATTTCAAAATGGCTTTTGGAAATTTATCTCCTTACACAATGATTTGCAGTTTGGCAAAAAATCTTTCACAAGTTGGTCTTACTATGAGCAAGTATTGAATTTTGTTTCCAAAATGATAACCAGTAATTTTGTTTAGAGTTAAAAATCATTTCTATGGTATATGTACATCTTTTTAGTTCTTAATAACTTCAGAAGTTCTTTTCTTATGCTATAAGGCATGTGTAAAATAAGCTTATTTCCTTGTATTATTATTAAGCCATCCAGAAGAAGCCTTTCTGACAATTGATCACTGAAACTTATGCCGTACCTTTCTGTTAATTCGAAAATAAATAATATTATTAAAATATTTTTTTAATATATGAAAATTAATATATTAGAAATCTCTGTAATTTAAAGCAAGCTTTCATTCTTCAACTACATGTCCATTTCCAATACCCAAAGGCTAATTCCATCATAATAACTTATCTTTTACCCGGTCATTATTCAGCGAAACCTTTCTATTATGAAAATTCTGTGATCATCCTTTGTAATAAAGGCCCAAGATACAACCTCGACCACCACCTGTGAAATGCATAGCTCTCTTTGTACAGGATCTCTGTGGCTGTTACTAGAAGGTACTAAATAGTATGTTCAAGCACTAAATAGGCTTCCTTATTCTCTCTGTTTGTTATTTAGTGTGTGATAATATTTTTGTGTATGTGTATTTGATAATATGTACATATATATATATTTTTGTCTACCATTGGAAATAAAAATATATGCAACACAAATCTGAGTTATTAGCACATCAAGGCTGTTTACACCTTTCGTTCCAAAACAGATATTCAAATTAAATACATTAAGGCAATTTGTGTTTATTTACATTTGTTTCAATAATAATGTTTTTGTTGGCATTAATTTCGCTTTATTGGTTGTTTAAGGCCATTTTTCATCCATTCATTTATTGAAATATTTACATTTATTACTTTTTTTCCCTCATTAGATAATCCAAGAATTTTATATATGATACAGTTTATGGTATAGGCTTGTATATATGCAATATGAATATTTTTTTTTTTTTTTTCCAGAAGAAAAAATTCTTATCTTCTATTTGTGATCTATTATTACGGATTGTGTTATAAGGTATTTCTCTTGCCTTCGTAGCATGTCTACATGATCAGCACACTCGGCACATATTCGAGAGGTCCATGGTTCGAGTCGCGGGGAGGGCATTGCTCGTTTTCACGTCTCTCAGCTTCCAAAAAAAAAAAAAAAAAAAAAATCCTAATGTCTCTACAGTGTTTTCTTCAAAATAAACAATCTGATGGAATGAAAATATTTTGGTGATTAAAACTTTTTAATCACTGCTGTTTACATCTACATTTCTTTTTTCACATAATTTGAAGTTTGCAAGTAGTTTGAAGGTTTTCAAACTATGTTTCAGAGAAATTTTAGATCTCATGCAGCTCCTCTGGGGAATCTGCAAGTCAAAAATCAAAATTTAAAACTATTTTTAATATCACTGGACATACTTAAAATAAAGAAATATTTTTTATTCTATTGTTATTGTTACAAAAAATAATATTAAGCAGATCTGTTTTTATGATTAAAATTATAATGAAATAAAGATTTTCATTTCACTTTCTGCATAAAGTGCAGAAGTTTTGCATTTCAATTCTTTTTTAACATTTATTTTTCTGAGGAGGGAAATGCTTCTCTGGAAAAAAATTACAATTTTAGAGTTTTTTCTGAAGTCACAGATTTGAAGTTAGATAGAGAAGCCACAATTTTTTAAATGGATGAATTAATACAGCCCTGGCTTTTGTTATGTTTTATGCATTTAATAAATTTACGCCCGACTGTTTATTCTTTAATTCTACCTAACACAATTAATCGATACTTGTTTCTAATATAGAATTTTAGCATCAATTCTACATAATAACACGAGTAATCTTTTTTAATTGAATTTTATCATTATTAACAAAATACTTTGGCACTATGAACTGAGAATTTTTTCCTTTACTTTTATCTTTCAATACTTTAGGAACTGGTCATTGATTTACATCTATAATAAAATAAATAAACGCTTGTAAACCTCAGCTCTTTTGTTGCATGAATAATGTTAAACTCCCTGTTAAGTATTTTTTTAGCATCTTCTATGTAACAGTATAGACTCCATGATTATTCCTTAAAATTGGAAGTATCAGAAATAGATGTAAATATGTATTGTCTTCTGCATTAACTTACAAAAATAAAAAAGTGTGAATATCTGAATGGAATTATATAGAAAGAGCTACAGGACGCTATGTTTTCATGATGGTCATTCCACTATACTGGAAATATTAAATCAAACAATAAGTGCAGGAAAAGATTCAGTAAGAGGATATACTCTCTTCTGAAACAATACATTTGACTGTAGTTGTTCCATATGATATTTCTATACAACATCCCAAAATCTTGGTAAATAACTTTCTAAACCAAGTTTACAGTGTAAAGAAAAAGTGTTTTTATCTTAATTGCCTGTTACAAGCCAAAAACTAGATATGAGAAAGAACATGCAGTGTCAGTACAGCTAGATGATCCCTTTTACAGAGTTACTAATTTGAAAACAAGTTAACCTGTAAAACTACCCTTCATATTGGTTTGCTTTAGATTCATTTGGTAACAAATATGTCATTAACGTCTGTACCAATCAATCAATAAACCTTGTTACAAGCAAGTTTTTGTTTGCAGGATGCTGTTCATAATTGGTTTTCTTTTGGTGGTATAGCAATAGCGAAGGGAGAAAGATGCTGGGTAATTTAAATTCAACTAACATAGCAAATTCCATTCTTCTGTAACTTTACAATTTGATACAGCTTTATTTTTTCAGAAATTTATTCTACTATTTCCTCCATTGCAAACAAATTCCACAAGTGCATATTTTAAAATTAATTTCACATTTAAAAAAGTATGATTTGTTTATAAATGATTTGTTATAAAATAAAAATGAGTTATAAAAATCATTGTAACTTGGACAAATACACACACAAAAAAGGGGAAAAAAACCATACAAAAATGGTGATTCTGCTTATTAAAAACTGAAGATTTGTTATATGCACATACACATGGTTGACACAGTTTGATGCATCCTGCGAAATTTGTTGTGGTAATATGGTAGCAAAAACAATTTTTTTTTGTCATTTTGTATTAAAATTTAAAATTATTAAGGTGTTGATGGCTATGCTAAGTTACACAAAGCAAGGTAACGTACAGTAAGAGCTATGTACCTTAGGCAAAAAGGATGCCTTTGAGAAGGTCTTCTTACGAGAAACTAACTTGTATTCACTTATATATCAGGAGAACAGGAAAGTTCCCATGCAGCTAGCCCATTCAACAGTATTTGTACCTGGATCTAACATCCAGTGTTCAGCTATCTTATCTGCTAGTCCATTGATGCTAAAAGTGGAAATAGACAATAATGTGATTTTACACACAAGATAAGTAGCATTCATTGACTTATACATCACTAAAGAAATATATACATTTCAGAAAACTTTCCTGTTTTCTAAAATTCAGTATCTTTATTATTATAACTTCCTGATATTTCAATGCATGTAATTTATGGTGAACTATTAACTAAAGCAGAATTTTTTTTTTGAATTGGTTGTGTTTAATTATAAGATTATTTTGAAAAACATTGTTAGTAATAAAACTAAAGACTATTATTAGTAATAAAACTGAATAAAACTATTGTTAGTAATAAAATTGAATTTTCTTTACACACTGACTGTTAAATTATTATATTTCAAATCAACAGATTGTAATTATACAATAAGACAAGAGGAAAACTACAGTAGTCATTGAAGCAATTGTTGAGTTTCTGAAAAAACAATAAAAAATTTCAAATCTAACACAGTATACCCTGTTTAATGTTTAATATAGTATGGAAGGTTTTGTAAAGCATCAGCTATTTAAATAAAAAAGCATGCACTAGCTGACAATGAAACCAAATAAAAATCAAACAGAACTCTATTACACGTTATGCAATAAAAACCTTGGACCAGATCTCGAAACATCAACTAGATCTTAGGCAATAAAATTAATAAAAATTTATGTTGATAAGTACTTAAGAACAAATAGAACAAAATGGCCAAATTTTCAACTTAGATAACCAAATAAAACATTTGCGTTCTAGAGGATTTTATTTACTTCACATACATACATACATTATCTTTACATTTACTTTCATAACTCGTATCATACATAACATACTTCATAACATACTCTTATCATCGAATGATTATGATTTTCTATAGTAGTAAGCAAATTTTTTTGGTTTAATCCTAGTATCCGGTGCACACGGGATTTGGCTACTTTTGGCGACTTTATGATGAGGAGTAAAAACGGGACATATACGATGATTAGTTAACGGGTTATTCAAAGAAAATATACAGTTAAACATAGTATATACTATGTATATAGTATATATGCTATGTGTGTATAGTATATATATAGACGTTCTTTGGATCATTTTTGGTGTTGGCGATAATTTTCAAAGTCACGCCAAGGCTGCACCGTATACTAGGATTTTACCATTTTTTTAAGTTTCTACTTCGTGTCTGCAAAGTATTCCTTTAAATTGGAAGGTTTCGCGATATTCATTTTTTTTTTTCTGACAAAGTTCATACACGAATCCAAAACATTAAAACCTTCACAAACGATAAACTACGGCCATTTCGTTATCGATGACAAAAGTCTGCCTATCGATAGTAAAAAGGAAAGTCTGGGCCATCTGAAAAAGCGGCGACCAGAAAAGTTCTATCGGCAGACATATTGGCAGTGTTTTACTGTGTTGTCCGAAGCTCGAAAGATTTCATCAGAATTAATGTTCGATCGCAAGACAATGATCTACAGAACTCATTTGATTCTCTTTCTGCAAGAAAAGCTTGGTCTTAGCTGTAATGTAAACTGAAGGATATTTAAAATCATTTGTATATATTTGTGGGTTCTTTAGTTTCGAAATCACAATTCATATTCAAACAACACACATTTAGTAAAACATTAATACATCTATAATATAGTTCATCTATTAATACAACATATATAACATCGTTTATCTATTACCACGATATCTATAACATCTTATATCTATTAACATGACAACTATAACGTCTTACATCTCTTAACACAACATCTATATCATCTTGCATCTCCTCTCATAAAACAAGTGGCGAGAGTTCTATCAATTTCACTCGTGCAGTCAACAGCTAAAATTTAGACAGCGCGCGAGGAAAAATATTAAGCTATGGATTTAAAATCCCACATATGTATACATAGAAGTGCAGAATTGCAATAATTATGATCGTTTACTTAAAACGCGTTATTCTTTATTTTAGTATTTACTAATATGCTTGATTGAAAAGAATATAAAAATAGATAAAGTTATTTTTTGCTTCTACTATTTTGATGTAATTAATTGCTGATTAACTAAATATTTAACATGCTTATTTATTAACATCACCGCAGTCGTTTATTTTGTTTGCTATTAATTCTAATCTTAACCATAATTTAAACATGGATATTACATCAAATAAAAAAATAATTAAGTAGATTTACAAAAAGAAGAGTTGATGGTCGAATAACAAGTAATTTCAAAACAATAAGATGTATTTTTTAAATCTAAATATTAGTAGTTTCCACGTGAAACAACTACCCAATAAAGTATTAGAGAATAAAAGATCATCTACACAATTTATTTAAAAAAAAACTTCGAATTCTGATAAGAAGTTAATTAAATTTAGATTTTATCTTACATAAGACTTGCTGTTTAAATTAAAAGTAAAAACTAGGTAGGATTTCTATGACCTCCAGAATTTTAGTCTATAATTTTTCATGAACAATTTCAGTCCGCCTTTTTAAACAAAATGGTGTCTCCAAAATCCTATTAATTAACATCATTTTGCTAATAAAACTCCGGAAATGTATGAATATTTAAAATTTTCAATTATTGTAGAATAAAACATTTACCATCCCTCGGATTGCTTTATTAAAGTTCCAACCTGTTCTGATGTTTCACTGCATAGCCGTGGCTCTACGATATAGCGGCGCAGCGGCGAAACAGGTTTACATTGAGTCTAAGAAAGCTTTCCTAAGTTCTTTACTTGTGCCTTATTCGCCCTCGAAACCAGTAGTAGTTTTATTCAAAATGCACACCAAAATAAAACTGTTGATTTGCCTAATTTTAAATTTTGCACAGGCGTATTTCTGTTCCTATTTGATATGATCAACTATTTTTTTTTATTCCCAATGCGTATTATAACTGTTTTCTAGCAACAAATCGTTCTTAATGTCAACTATATCAAACAGAAGTAGCGTTAAAAGTATAAATTCGTTCTTTGAAAGTTCCTATTTCAAAGAAGTGTGCTTCTGTCTTCTAAAACCTTTATTTATGTCTTAGACGTTAACAAAGATCATTAATGGTCATTTATTGGTATTTTCTTTCTGTTCTATCGGGTATTTGGATAGATCTATGACACACCTGTTTGTGTCAAATCTCATGCTATGCTGTGATCTGAAACTCTGCCTCAGGTCCTCATAAGCGCAGAGTTCCTTGTGCTCTTTGTAACGGTGGGCCATTTCTATTATCTCCATGACTTTACAAACTGCGTATGCAAACATGACAGTTATGAAAAAAGCACTTGCAAGAGCTATCAAGGCAAAACCAAATACAAGGCTGTTTACATTCATGCTTTCCAGCAGCGAATGGAAACCATCGCGTGCCTCTATTGTGTAGTGGAGCGTCACCATCACTATTCCGGAGATGATGAGGAATCCTCCAAACGCCGAACCGGCTACACACAGTTCGGCGCTCGGAAATCTTCTCCTCCAACGATCATCATCTTCAAGGTAACAAATAAGGGCTTCCTCTGCTGGAAATGTACTGCGATCACTCATTGCATCCATTCTCTAGGATCTGCAAGAAAGAGAAAATTTTTAATGTTACAATCATTTGCTTTAGCGAGTTTGCTTTAACGCATATTTATTTATATTTATTTTGGTCACCTTATAAATGGCAGCATGACTTTGCCAAGATTCGACGCAATTTTGAATGACAGTTCCCTAGTGCATCCCACGACTCTTTTCCTCCCACCAAGTCTCTTCCGAGGACTGCTGCTAAAGCACTATACGCTTACAAACATCTAAGACTTCTTCGGGATTCGAAACTAGGTTCAACAATACGGCAGCCAGCATCGCTAGCGGGTCTAGGACTTTCCGCCGTCGCCATTTCACCGTGGCCGTTCCGCCGTCAAGACATATTTTTCTTTACATGACTGTATTATATCTTGCCGTATTATACTCGTATTAAATTTTAATCGGCTACTTCAGAGAAATCACTCATACAAGCAGGAAATCCACAATTTTATGAAATTTGAATTGAGAACGAAAACTTTGGAATCTTGTCAGCACATTACTCTTTTAAAATTAGTATGTTATGCGTAACGATGTATTTGTATAAAATTGTACACAGAAATATGTTATATAAAATGCTTATTAAATAAAATTAAGTTATTAAACTAAATCAACTTAATATATAATACGAAAAGACGTAAAGACATAATACAGTCGTGTAAAGAAAAATATGTCTTGACGGCGAATAGTTCCATTCGCTCGCTAGCCACTACACCGATTGGGAGTGGCAGATCAGTAACATAAATGAGTAAAGAATGTCTCTGAACCTATAAATAGTAAGGAGCGAGACAAAATGTGTTCCCAATCTTAAACTTTCATTACAGCCTTTCAATTCCAATATCAAGTTAGCATTTTCCGCACTTAGGTGAATTAACATCATAAAATAAACTGCGTTATTACTGTTGCAAAAATCTATCAAAAATGCTTCAAAAGCCATTATAGGTATTTTAGCGGATACCTTCTGCCAGTTTTAAAATAATACGAATGTAAAATAACTAATTCTTTGATATGGGAAACGTAACAGCAAGTTAAGCAACGTCATTTTATGAATCCGCATTGAATACAACCCGATATGATACGACCAATCTAAAACACTCAGGCTACCTTTACATTACATAAATTTTGACATATGTTGCTAGCAGAAGGCATGTCTCAAAGTCGAAAATCATATGCAATCGAACTTCGCCGCAAAGAACTTCAAGGGAACGAAAGTTTGGTCCTCTATACCAGATCCGATAAAAAAATGAATTATCTCTTTAAAAAAAATAAAATAAAATAAATAAATAAAAATTAAAAGCTGAATCACGCGAACATATAGACCTCCCCCCCCAAAAAAAACCTGAATGCGTTCAGATTTTAACGGTCGCCCAAAAGGATTCTCTTAAAATTTAAAATGGTATTTATCACTAGCCATATTGACACAGGCAGCTTAGGTGGAACAGCAAAAACATTTCTAGGATGTTGGATGACTACACATTTAGATTAATATAGAAATACTGTTACTATAAAAATACTTCCCGGATCAATAAACCCCTAGCGGCCTATCCGCTCAACGACGCACCATGATGCATCGAGAAGATATAAAGCAAATTGGACACAAATTGGCATGCATACAGGTTTCGACGGAAAATGCAAAATTTTACATTTTAGCTGCCAAAGAATGAACGGTTGTCGCTACAGCGAATCTGATCTGCGCAACTGGCAGTATATTTAAGAGGAGAAATTACGATTCCAGGTCATAAATTCTTCACGAATTTCATTCCCTGTACTCTGGTAGACAGTAAGTATGCCTCGCATACAGGTGTGCGAAAGATGTACGCAGATGTCAGAATTTGAGAGATGTCGTGTAGTGGGCTTTAAGAAGCCAGTTGGTCTTATCGGCGAATAGCTCGACATTTGAGCAGGAGCGATGCCACTATTAGACGATGTTGGCAGGAATGGGTGGACCATGGCCGCACACAGCGTCAAGAAGGAAGCGGTAGGACTAGAGAAACGAGAGAACGTGAGGACCGAGCAATCGTCAGAGCGCCACTCACAGCCCCAGATGCATCATTATTATCGATTGCACGTGCAACTAGTGCTTCAGTGACCGCAAGGACCATTCATAGATGGCTCACAGAAAGGGGGCTGAGGTCACGGCGCTCCTTACGCCGACTACCATTGACCTCTGTATAACGTCAAGCCCGTTTGCAGTGGTGTCGGGCTCATTCGCACTGGAATGTCACTGACTGGAGTAGAATAGTCTTCAGTGATGAGTCCCGCTTTGAACTGAGCCCCGATGACCAGCAAGTCGAGTCTGGAGACGACCCGGACAGCGGCGTGATACCAACCTGACTGTCTTCCGTCAGACAGGCCGACAACCAGGAGTGATGGTATGGGGTGCCATTTCATTTCATAGTATGACTCCTTTTGGTGGCAACCGTCGCAACCTTACATCACAGCGGTACATCGACGAAGTTCTAAGGCCCGTTGTGTTGCCCTCCATGTCACGATACCCTAGGCTTACATTTCAGCAAGATAATGCCCGCCCCCACACTGCACATGTTTCTACTGCTTGCCTTAGTGCATGCCGACCATTACCTTGGCCAGCAAGGTCGCTGGATCTCTCTCCTATTGAGCACGTTTGGAGCATTATGGGCAGGGTCCTTCAACCAGCTCGGGATGTTGACGATATAGCGCGCCAGTTGGACAGAATTTGGCACGATATCACTCAGGAGGACATCCGCAACCTCTATCAATCGAAGCCAAGCCGAATAACTGCTTGCATAAGGGCCAGAGGTGAACAAACGCGTTACTGACTTTTTCACTTTGTGAAGCTCTATCACTTCAATAATCATTCAATTTTTAAACTGTAATCATTTGTTTTTCTGTACATGTACATCATTTCTACCGATTTTCGTCCCATTCGGATAACTCCTTCTTGGTGCGTCGTTTTTTGTCTAAGAGTGTATATTGCAACAATATCGATTTTTCAGGCAAATAAATTATGCTATTTCTCGAACTGTTTTCGCAACCGTAGACATGTAGTTCCAACTAACAATAATGTTTCAAATAATACTCATAATTTGGTATTTTTTAATTTAAAATATATCAATTTTGAAAAAAGTATGAAATCTAGCTTTTGTAAATTTTGTCATCCTGCCTGCTGACCAAATTACTTGTTTTTGTTCAGAAATTCTAAAGTTAATTGAAAAGAATTGTGTTCCTTTAACTGTTTTCTTTATTTGATGTTTTACATTTTTCTGTATTTTACAGTTTTTAATGAACATGTTCAGAGATTTTATGCATTTTCGTCATGATGTAAGAACTGAATCTGAATTGATTGAATGAGAAGCATATTTCAAATGAAATTCGAGGAGATAAAATGAAGTGCAACAAAGAATGTGCATAATTTAATAGGACGTACAAGACAGTCGTGTGGTATCCACAGTAGATTTTTTTATCGTCAGAGTACAGCAGTGGGAACAAGCAAGATCGTTGGTGGTGGTAGAAGTGCCTACAGGTATACTAGGGACCACTGATCCAAATCGTTTCATCTTGCCGCGTACTAGTAGAATTTCAAAATACCGGGAAAAATACCGGATTAAGCTTCTAATTGGTCCTAGATTAGAAAACCTAAATTCGGACCTCATTTACGTATTTTGCCGTAACATGGGAGAAAGTTTCTTTAAAATCCTTCAACTACTTTATAGTAAGAATGCGCTGCGAAGTTCCACACTCAAGTCTAAAAAATTCGTTCTACTTGAAAACATTCATCTCCATCTGGTATTGAATAAACGATTTATAAAGCTAACAGCATAAACTACAACTGAAATTTTGAGGATATATTACTTGTAACATTTTACGGCTGTCATCCGTCGGAACAAAATGCCAATGATATCCATTTTAGAATTTGCACAGTTTTTGAAAGTTTGATGAGACCTTCTTTTGAATTAAACTACATACTAATATTGAACATTTACGTTATTTTAAAAAATACAAAAAAAAATGTTATGTTTTAAAAAAAATCTGAAAGAATCAGATTTTAATTGTAGCCTAAAGAATCAGTTACGATATTTTACACTCTCTTTGAACTTGCAGTCTACCGGTCTGATCCTGAACTCATTACTGCTAACAAAAACTAACGGCATTTGGTTTAAGCAATGCTACGCAGACCATGCAAAGATTACTGGACCAAGTTCTGTCAGATTTAAATTTCTGTTTCGTATACATAGATGACATTTTGATTGCTTCGTCATCCCTCGATGAACATATACTTCACATCGAAGAAGTTTTTAAGAGATTAAAATTCATAATTTGACTGTCAACCTTCCTAAATGCACATTTGCTTCAGAACGCGTAAAATGTTTAGGTGATCGATAAAAATGGAATCATTCCTTTATCAGATAAAATTAAAGTTACCCAAGATTTTCCCAAACCCAAAACTGTTAATGATCTCAGATGTTTTTGGGGAATTCTTAATTTCTATAGGAGATTTTTAAATCATGCTGCTGAAGTTCAACTTGTTTTAAATCGTATACTCGGATGCTGTAAGAAGAATGACAAAACACCTTTAAATTGGTCAATAGATACTGAAACAGCCTTTGAATCATGTAAACAGCTTCTGACACAGGCTACAAATTTAATCCACCCAGACCCAAAAAAGAAAATTCCTCTCACGCGCGACATATCAGACAAAGCTCTAGGCGCTTGTGCCCAACGTCCAACAACTCAATGCACAAACATGGGAACCATTAGGATTTTTCTCCAGAAATTGAGCGATACGGAACAAAAGTATAGTACGTACGACCGACAGCTGCTATCAATATTTGCTGCTATCAAATACTTCAGATATTTGCTTGAAGGTACGAACTTGACAGTACTTACAGATCATAAGCCACTCTCAAATGCATCAAAAGGCAATCAAAATTTATCCAAAAGTATGACAAGCTCTCACATCGACAAATTAATCAACTTATTTTCATACGTCAGTTCACTACTGGTATTCAATGTGTGAGTGGTGCA